GGGGGGGGGGGGGCCACTTTCATTACAGTGGCTCTGAGAGCTACTCTAATTAAAGCACCCAGAGCATCTCGTGTATCAGCATCCCCGCACTGAAAAAAGGTGGCGGGAGTGCTTTAACTAAAGCTTAAATGAGCTTTAGTTAAAGCAGCCCCACCGCCATTTCTCAGTGTGGGGTCACTGATACAGAAGATGCTGGAGTCTGCTGGAGAGCAGTAATTCGCACACTCCAACAGACTAGATCAGGGGTGGGCAAAATACGGCCCACTAGGCCATTCTATCTGGTCTGTGGGGCCCCTAAAATAATTTAGAAAATTAATATTAATCTGCCCTGGGCTGCCTGTCATAAGACCCTCAATGGCTTGCCAAAACTCAGTAAGCAGCCCTCTGCCCAAAATAATTGCCCGCCCCTGGACCAGATTAATCGAGCCTATTTCAACATGCTCTAATTACAGCATATCCGAGCAGCCTTGCTGCTTGTGTATAGGTGCCCAATAAGTCCCCAAGGACAGGTGAGCAGCAGCATCGCAGAGTCCACACTGGGCAAAAGATCAGAGAGATGGTTGAAGAAGCTTCCAAATGGGAGCTCTGTAGAAAATACTCTCTGTGCTACTATTATTGACCACATATAACGGCCACGTATGACATTCTACAAACTCAAAGTATGTTGAGATAAACGTAGACGACCCCATTAGACTTCTCATCCTAGTACAATAATTTGAAAAAGCTGGCACAGAGGCAGGTGGTTACCTTGCCATGGGACTACATGCAGGTGCATTAAGTACTAGACTAAACTGAAACCAGAGCACTCCATTCTGGATCAAGCCCCAGACTTAATTGTGTAAAATTCTTGTTTAAACGGGAAATTATGGGGCCTGATTCTCACCTATCTGTTCCCTTATTTAGTCATTTTGCCTTGTATAAAACTTGGACACCTCAAGAGATCTGATCTGGCAGTATTTTATGTCCTCTGAGCACAGGGATAAAAACCTACACAAGGAGCAAGGCACAACAAATCAGTCCTAGCCATCTGTCTGCTGAACCTCAGGCACATCACAAGATAAACATCTCTGAACACATACTGCATAAGGAGCGTGAATGCATGAGCTATCCGCCAAAAGTAGATAAAAATATACCTCTGATAAAGCTAACAGACTGAGACTAGAACCAAATCAAAAAAAGGATTCCCTAACTGGCATCCTTAACAATAGAACAGGCACCTACTTTTCATTAGCAACAATTCCTGACAGAGTTTAATTGACCAGGTCTAGCAGACAAGCAGGGAAATTTAATCCAGGCAACTAATAAGAACTCTTTCCTCTAGTCTCAGGGAGGAAGCACTTCTGTTTCTTTCACGCTTAGACTGTGCTACTGAACTCTCTTCCCAGACCATGTTTTTTGGGTGAAAGTGCCTCAAGCACATATGGGTTTTATGACCTCCTTTAATGAAAGTCCTCCTGCAAGCACTGCTGTCTGATGCTATAATATTTGATTTAAGTGGTTCAGTGACTTGACCCAAGCATATAACCCACTTTTTTTTATGCTTAGTTCATTATCCAAGCTTGATTGTGTTTAGTAGCTGTGTGTTAAATTCCCATGAAGGAGTTAGTTTCCATTGAACTCAGCTGCCATTAGTCACCCATGTTAAATATCAATTTATCGTGAACAACACTAAGTAAAAAATATATACACATAGTAGTTACCGATTTCCTTTCTTGTTTCAGCTCCTGCACATAGCGTGCTAACTCTGCAGTGATCTGACAGGTCATGTTTTCGGAAATGACCTCATGCTGTCCAGCATAGTCATTCATTTCATTTAAAGTGGCTAAGAAGGCTTTACATGATGTGTACCTGCAAAGGATAAAAAATGTACAGTGTTTTTATTCTCTTGGTTTCCAAGTTTGCATTTTTCCCCAACTAACATTTACTATTGCTAGATGAGGTAGGATGTTCATTAGGAAAAGTTTGTTGGAAGGAAGGAGTCCATTGCATGGGTGCCCAAAGCAACAAACTGGAAATTCTCTGAGAAACTGAACTGATTGTAAGTACAGTTAGGCACTGGGATTTCACAAACCCCATATATTTAAGTGGCCTGTGTTTCATTAGTATAGAACTTAGGCTTTTTGGGCATCTATACACGTGCAGCAAGGCTGCTCCAACACGCTATAATTACAGTACATCAGAGCCCCCTCAATTAATCGAGTCTTTTGGCGCATGATAATTACTGAGCTCCAGGAGACTCCAGCATTTTGTGCATCAGTGTCCCTGCACTGAAAAATGGCAGCAGGGGTGCTTTAACTAAAGCTTGTTCGATAAGCTTGAGTTAAAGCGCCCATATCATCATTTCTGTAGTGTAACACTGACACACATGACGCTCTTTGAACTGCTCTAATTGAACCATCTCCCTCCCCACCCCCCACCTCCTGGAGCACATGTATAAAGGCCCTTCCCAGGCTAAAACTGGATCAGAATTTTTTGTCAGCTTCACTTGCCATTTGAAACCCAATCCTGCAATTCAATACACTACGAATGCCTAAATGCTCAGCATTTGGATAACATGACATATACAATATATACAAACCAATCAGTTACAGCAGGGAATTCTTTGTTATTTGATTCACACTCAAAAATAACTCCTCTATAGTGCCTCTGTAGAGAAGCAATATGTTCTCTTTTAGCAAGGGAACAGTCATCCACATTTCGTGAGGCTTTTCTCCATATCCCGTTAGCATCTTCTAGCACCATTATAAGGTTTCTTTTTCATGAGTGAAAGCATTAGTAATACTATGTTCCAGGTACTATCAACAAAGGGAAAACAAGTTGCCCTGCAGATGGTTCATTTCAGGAAGGCAGAGCATGCTGCTGGCATGCACCTACCTCACTGAACCAATACAGCTGCACTTAAATACCCCAAAACAGCTTGGTGTGCTATCCAATCAAAGGAAGAGCAGTTAAAAAGAGATACACTTTGATACTACAATTCCTACTAATGTTACATTACAATAGCTTCAGTGCTAGATGCCCTGACATTAAAAGCAGCACTTGAAGGGGAAACGAGGCAATGGAAAGGAACAGGGAAAAAATGAAAAAGGTAGGAAGGAGATGTGGAGACAAGATGAAGAACGGCACATATGTGCATTTGCATGTGCACGTGTTAGTAGCAGAGTGGGTGGGTATGTGTGTGCCAGTGCATATAATAGAAGAGCGGGAGAAAAGGAGGCAACAAGAGCAGAGGAGCACAAATGTAATTGTGAGGGACATTAGGGAGCAAAAGGATACAAATGAATTATGCAAGAAAATAAACCAAATTATATCCCAGCAGAAACAGCCACATCTATCAGTCACTGTCAAGCAAAACTGCATCCAGAATGTATAACTCCAGAAGCAATAAGGGAGACTCAAAGTTACTGACCTTACATTAGAAAACTAAATTTAAAAGTGTACAGATCTATCTATATATATAGATATAGACATTCTGCTGGGGGTCTGGGTGGCATGACAAACTATCTGACCTTTATTCAGAATTAATATGGAATAAATTTAATTGAATCAGGCCCATAAGAAAACAGATCTACCTCCCTCACTGCTTCATAAACACTCTCTGGATCCTGGAATTTGATTGGGATTTCAAAGAAAATGAAAGGAAGCAGGCATCCAGTACCTACAACATCAAATAGAAGCGGAGTGACAGATTTAAATCCCTTTGAAAAGCTGAACCTTAATATTTAGTTACATGCAACATGCAAGTCTTCTCTGTTGTCAGGGCTTCTGCGGTCTTCTACAACACTTGCTGCTTCACATATACGCAGTCCTCATTGAGAATATTAGCATATTCCTCTCTTCCCCTCCACCTGGACAAATCCCCACCTACAAGTTGATAATGTACGTACTTGTATTCTTCCTCTTCTTTGGAGTTCTTTTTGGGTTGATATTTCTTAGAAAGATTCCTAAAAATTAAAAATGAAACAAGTAAATAATTACCATTGGATAGTCTCCACATGCCCCCCAGGCCCCAGGCACAGGAACTGGATACATTATTATTGTTGTTGTACTGCCTTGCACTCCAAAGCCAGCCCCTCACCATGCACTGCAGCCTACAAACAAAGCAGTCTGTGCCCCTGCACAGTTTATAATTTAAGACTATACCCAACAGGCGGCTTCAATTCTACACACTCTTACTGGCTATCAAAATTATCCGCTATTGTCTCAAATCTTGCTATGCTATTTAACTGCTTGTGTTTGCAATAGACAAATCAAAGGTAATTCAGAACATGTCTAACTGCTACTACTGCAGCTCTGACTTTGAAAGCAGGAACTACTAATCCCTAGCTACTGGCAAATTTAGGATTTAATGAACATGCACTGTATGGCAAACATTCAGTGCAGCTCGTCAGTGCCTATCACTTGGATCTGTGATCCTCTTCTCCATCTAACAAGGATATCTGTCCCCTCTCACTGTAGGGCACGATTCACAGATCACCTTCTCAATATGCACACTGGATAGCTGAACAGACTTTACACAATATTTCTAAGGGCTCCAATGCTGAATTGTAGGCAAAGTATATTCTCAAAATTTAGTTTATGCAGGAACCATTCATGTTCAATTATTCCAAGGTGAGCAGCCTTGGTTCCTGCAATAAATGACTCTCTATTCTGCACTCTCTGTGGTACTCATTTCCTTGCTTATTAATTTTCTCATTCCCCATTTTCCCTTTTGCAGAGGCAGCTTTCTTATTTAAGCAAATTTCATTATTTTCATTCAACCTGAATGAATGAAAATTTACATCTCCTTTTTTTCTTTTCTTGACATTGATTTAAGGGCAGAGTTGAGCTGTAACCAAGGAAACTTATCAGAATCTGTTCAACTTCTGTAAACTTATACAAAGGAAAAACCCGTAAGCCAAGGAAAAAAGTGCAGAATGAATTTTCACCATCAGTATGCAAAGGTCACTTGATGAAGGACACTGGTTTCAGTACTGTACTTTATGACGAGACGTCTTTATCCTTCATGGAAAATTGCCTTCAATTCCAGCACAATGGACCAAATTCTGATCCATAGTAGGCCATCAACGTTAATCAGAAACCTCCAGTAACTTAAACAGTTAGCCCTTAAAAAGTGATTGCCCAATATGGCCCTGATTTCAGTTGGCTTGCAATGCTAAAGCCAAGAATATTTGCCTCTATTATTCATCCTGCAGCTTTTATACAACACAAAGTTTACAGTAAAAGGTCAGTGAGGCAAATTCTGCCCTCACTCATCTCTCTCTCAACCCATTAAAAGCAATGGGGTTACTAAGTATCAATGCCGATGCAATTCTGAGCAGAGTTTGACAAACTGAATGTGTGCATCTCCAAAGACAGAAGTACTGAGCTAAACACTCATTTTCACCTATATCCCCCACTCCCTCTTAACCATAATTCTTCACCCCTCCTCTTCATCTGGAAGAAATCACATCAGCAGCTGCCTCTCTACAGCTGATTTCAAAGGTCTGCTGCTTGGATGGACAGCTAATCCAAGCCTGCTTATCCCCTGGGGAGCTAACGCATCATATTCAAGACATTCCACCTGACTGTTTTGATAATGCTGTTAAAGCCAAAAACGTAAGGGTATCTTAGTGCAGTGTTGCCCCTGGGCTTATTTGCCCTGCTGAGAAACAGTGTTTATTTGCCCAAATGCAATCCCTTCCTAACACAGCTGTGTTACTGCTTCCAGTTTCAAAACCAGCTCACAGGATCTGTGTTGGGCTGCTCTGATTAGAAGCTTTGGGAGTACATCTATACAAAAAAGACTCCCAGTGAAGTTACCAGGAGTTTCAGGAGATCCTCAGGAAATATCCTGGTTCTGTATTACTCATTGCTCTTTCTAAACCAGTCTCACTCATGAAATTGCCCTGCCAATTTTCCTCTCCAAGGCACCACACCCAAATGACACACAGCTTACACCTTTGCTACTGGCAGAAAGACAACCAAGACACTATCTGTTCACACAGGGCAATGAAATTCAAGAACGAGCAAGGTCATTTTACACTTTATTGACAATATCCATGTCTGAAGGAACAAACAAATTACAACAGGCATATCGATTACAAGACTACTGGTATATCTTATGGCAGGCCTGGTGATGAAAATTTTTGACCTCTGCAAGATTATGTTTTAATGGTTATAAATGATATGATAGTGGCACTGGCCATGCCTCTGTCCTTGAGGCTGAAGATGCTGCATTAAGCCACCTATATTTCTTCCTGAGGACCCCCAGGGCAGACATGCTGGAACAATAATTCACACACTCTTTCAGGGGATTCAGCCTGCTGTCTGCTTAATGCTAAGCCTGCTCTCCACCTGCCAGCACAGAGGAAAAGCAAGACTATGAACCTGCTCTCCCCTTTCCTTTTGGATACCTAACAACTTAGGAGTGGCAGGAGGGAGCAAGGACTGTGCTCCCAAATGTGGTTCTGGTCAGACCTTGCACAGGGATGTATAAAGAGACAGATCATCTTCTGGTCTTCCTTATCCCTTGCACCTCCTCACTGGAACAATCCAAAACCTGTTTCATAATTAGCATCTAGTCTATTCTGTCCTATGATTTTCCCAAAAACAGGATACTCTGAAACAGTGAACTCCCTCCCCCAACCCCTCCCCAGGTGAGCTTGTTCATGAAAAGGTGGCAGTTTAAATCAGAGCTTATCACTGCTGCAAAAATGAAGAAAGCTGGTAGGCATGTCAAAAGGTGCTTTTTCTGATGCCACTGGGATCCTGTGGGAATCCCTGCCATCTTGCTCATCTTTATGGCTTCAATTCTTCCATCACAAATGAAAAAAAAATAAGAAAAATGTGCACAAAAGGCTAAATGAACTAAAAGATAGTTTTCACAAGCACAAAAATGCATTGTCTCCAAGAAAGGCCAACCCTCCCCTCCACCCCACATTAGCTAATTAATCCTGACATCTCCAGTTATCACTGTCTTGTGGCTGTGCAGAAAACCTTAAGGCTGTGTGAAAATCACTGAGCAGACCATGTTTTCACATACAAAGGATTAAGAGGCATATGACAAGGATTAGCACTTGGATTAAATAAATGTGCATTGTTATTTACCATGTATTGTATAGGCAGGGTAGTTTGAGGGCCATCTTGCAATGGAACTATAACCACAGCTCTAATAAAACCAGTGACGGTATTCTTCCTCAACTAAGGTCAGGCCCCACAAGATGTTGAGTACTTCAGCTCTTGCTAGGGCAGGGGTGGGCAAAATGGCTGACCCAGCCAGCTCCCAGACTGCATTTCCCAGCAGCTCCTGTCCCCATGGCTGGGGCCGGTCTCCATGGAGACCCCAGCCCTAGTTGGCTGTGAAAGCTCAAGGCTGGGGTTGCCATGGAGACCAGCCCAACTGTGCTGGCAGGGCAGGGTAAGGGGCTGCTCCAGAGCCGATGGGATCTTGCAGTGGGGCAGCTTGCTCCAGAGCCAGGGCAGAGTTGTAATCTGTAGCCTGCATGCTCTGGGCAGGGGTGTGCAGGCAGGGGATCACAGCTCTGCCTCTGCTCCAGACCAGGCTATCACCTGTGCAAGGAGCTGGGACAGAGCTGCAATCTCCTGCCTGCACGCCCCTGCCTGGAGCATGCAGGCTACAGACTGTTGCTCCGCCCCAGGTTTGGAGCAAGCTGCCCCCATTGCAAGATCCCAGCAGTTCCAAAGCAGCCCCTTGCCCTGCTCTGCTGTGCGCCCTGCCAGCACGGTTGAAGCTCGTCTCCATGGCGGTCCCTGCCTTGCACTTTCACATGCAGCTGCAGCTGGGGTCTCCATGAAGACCAACCCCAGCTACGTGCAGGGGCAGCCGGGAAATGGAGTCCACTACTGACCGGACCTGGCCAGTGGGCCAGACTTTTCCCGTCCATCCCTGTGCTAGGTCAATAACACTCCTCCTGAACTTCAAAGTTAGGTATTTATGTAAATGCTCGGCTGGACAGAGGCCAGAGTGCCCAGTTTCAGAACTGAGCCTTACCACCATCTGCATCATAAAAATACACACCACTGTGAAGTGTGAAGCTTTCCTCGACTCGCTAGTTCCAAGCAGTGATGAAACATGTAACTAGGTAATAGATATTAAGACTGGTGAAAGCTGATAGGTCTCAGTTTAGTATGAACTTTAGATGTGCTCCTCTGTGGACCTGTGCAACTGACGGTCTAATTTTAACTCGCGTCACCTTGCATCTCTTCATCCTGTGTTTCTCTGCCTCTTCAGCTGCTGCTTCCTTCGCTCTCCCATTTCCATTTATTTCATGGTTTCCCAACTCAAGATCTATCAGCCATCTATTGCTTTTCATTCTCAAATTATAGCACCTTAGATGCTCTTTCAAATCTGTTTCTCTCAGGGGTATCTATCCATTTTGCATTCAACTAAGCTCAACTCTGGCACTGGGACACCTTGGCTATTTCATGCTCCAAGTCTGGTGCTTTCTTAAATAAAATCAGGTTGCAGAGGTATGAATTCCCTTATCAAACCACTCAACCTAGCAGCGCCCAAATGAAGGTAAAAACACAATACAGAAAGAAACCTGATATCGACTCAATTCCTTTTCACATATTTTTCCTACAGTCTTGGTTTAACAAATTTAAGATAGAAATAACTTACAGTAACAAGAGAAGCATTAGATGGAATTTGACAGGAAAGAATATGGGTTTAAAAATCAGGGAGGGTTATATGGAAAATACCAGAGTGTCTCTAAGCCATGCATCACTTAAGCAAGGCAAACAGTGCACAGACCTTGTCCTGCTACTCTGCACATGAGCATATTTCACAGTGTATAATCAGACACAACTGAAGTAGCCTACAAGGCAATTCAAGATGCTGACCTCATTTGACAAACAAGAGACACATCTGAAGAATTATAAATAGGAAGTAAAGAAAAATATATCTGAACAACAGTTAACTACATTCATATGGGTGATCAGTTTGAGGCTTGGAGAATAGCTTCAGGTGGTAAAAATAGCATTGGAGCGTTACGAATAAAGAAGTCCTGAGGCATGACAGGAAATGCAGCTATCACCCATGAAACTGAAGCAGTTGGGCATTTTTTTTTCTCACATTTGCAAAATGGAAACCCACTGATCAGAATCCACCTCCAGATTCTCTCTGTTAGCATGCAGACAGCTATAAGGAAGGACAGGCGATGACACGCAGTGATATCCCGCTGCCCTTTCACGTTAAATGGATGCAATACAAATGAAAAAGGTTTGTCACAAACTTCTGCTTTATGAAAAGCAGATGCAGCTTGAGGAGAGGTGAGAACAGCCAGAGCTGTATTATCTCAGCTTTTGACAGACCAATTTCATTATTTTTTTCTTTTGTACCCAGCTAGCTTCTAATATGGCTCCCAGTACCAGGGTATCTGAGTTTCTCCCAGCAGTTACTGCATTTCCCCTTACAATGCCCCCGGGGAAATGCAGCAAGTACTATCCCCATTTTACAAATGAGGAACAGAAAAACAAGAGTGATTAAGTGCTTTGCTTAAGGTCTGGCTGGAAAGTAATGGCAGAGTTAAAAATTGAACTCAGATTCCCTGAACCCCCCAGGGAGTACCTTTACCTCAAGAGTGTATCTACAATCTTTAAACAATTATTATTCCTATTCCTTAAATATTATCTTCAGATTAAACCTTCATCCTAAGGAATTCAATTGACGATTGGTTTCAATGGGTACCTATCCACGTGACATACCTCTGCTCCAACATGTGCTAATTAGCACACATCGGAGCAGACTTGATTAATCGAGTCTGCTGCAAGTCTCCTGGAGCGTGCCAACAGCGCGCTCCAGCAGCCTTCGCGTCACATATATTCAGTGCCCCCATTTCAAAATGGTGACGGGAGCACTTTAACTAAAGCTCGTTGAACGAGTTTTAGTTAAAGCACCCCCGCTGCCATTTTGAAGCACAGGATGCTGAATACACATGACACTGTAGGCTCTTTAATTAAAGTGGCTTTTCATCTTCCAACTCACTCTGCCTGTTTGATCAAGCCTCTCTCAACTCCTCAGGATCTTGATAGTTCATCTCTGCATACCTAATCCTTTATTTCCTGCTTATCTATATAACAGAACTCTATAGGGAATCTCAAAAGGGAGAGAACATCCTTCTCCAAAAGCAGAAATACAAGATAGTCACAAACACAGAGCTTTACCAAGATGTCAGCTCACTGTACAGTGACAGATGCAAATAGTCAGCAAAAACACCACAACCCCCCCCAAGCCCTTACAATGTTTTGAGGTGTAGAAAGCAGCCAAAACCAGAATCTCAACATATATCCCATTGAATTTTGGAGGTTGGGAAAGAGTTTGAATTTGAATCTCCCAGTTTTAGTATGGACTTTAAACAGACAGCTTTACTTTCTGGTTCCAGCTCATGTGTAGCTGCATATTTAAACTAGAAGGGCAGTCTCTCATAAGAATCTGATCAAGAAAGTGGGAACATCTCACAAGAATTTCCAGAAGTTCGACATTCAGAGTGAGCTTATGATATCTCTGACCTTTTAAGATGAAAAGCCATGAGAAGAACTAGCAAGGTTTTAAAGCTCTCAAACTCGAATAGTAGCCTCGGTTCAGGTCTCAGTGATTAACTTTGAAACTCTGAGCATGGACCATGTTGTGTTCTGTGTCTGTACAGCACCTAGCATACCAGGGACCCAGTCTCTTAAGGGGAATCCTAGGCACAACAGTAATACAAATTAATATGACAGCAAACAGGCTGGACTCCTAAAGTTTGCACACCCTTTCCTTCACCCATTTTTACTTTCAGTTAAAGTCTCATCAAAAGCCATGAAACGTGGACCACAAGTGACAAGTAAACAAGGGATACGATTTTGTCACCAAGGCAGACATGATTATTACAAAGCACACAGCCTAATGTTTTGCAAACAGCAGTAATAAAAGAACAGTGTCTTAAAATAACCTAGGCTTTCTATGGTTAAAGTGGCTCAACTGTTTTGCCTTAAAAACTGGATTCTTATAAACCTAACAAATTAGCACCTAAGGAAGAGGGGCAAACTAGACCTGTATAAAGAAGTTAAACAGATACCATTCAAAACCATTCATTAGTCTGGCTAACTGCCCCCACCATATTACCCAAATCCTTCTAAAATGAAAATGTCCACTTACCTAAGTTGCTTTGCATAGCTGATTTCAATCTCCGTTCTTTCTTTTACAAACTTGATGTATTTTTCCAGAACATCAATTCCCCATTGTGTGTGTTTTTCTAAGTTGTCAAACTGATCCTGCAGTGAATCAAATAGATAGTTTAGTCTCACTGAGGTCAGAGATAACTTAAAACAACAATGCTCAAAAGGATGCATTACTGCAGAGAAAGTATTGCTAACATTTTCCATGAGTGCACTTATGCATATTTTTTTGCAGCTAGGTTTTTATCAACCTAACCAAGTCTAGTTCAGTGCAGGGCCAGGACTGTAATACTCTTAAGTGCTGCTTTATGCATCATTTTCGCACAGGCTGGGAAAGTTGCATTTGTCACGTGGAAAACAGTTTGCTAGAACAAAGAGGTGCACAGGCAGAGGTGTACACATATTCTACTGTCAAAGCAGACATGTTTTATAGAACATCTTTCTACAGATGAGAGTTGTCTTCCCACAGAATCTCGCATTGTTTTATAAAACGGAAAACAAGCTAAACAAATGCTAGCATAAAAAATGACTTTAGCTATGTTTATAGTAAATCTTCTTGCATATATCCATTTATATACACATGCTCCTTTCATCTTTAAATAGTGCCACCCTAAAAATTGCACGTTTTCAATAAACTCTTCTATATCTAAGAGCATTCCAAAAGTTAGTTTGGGCTTTCCAGATGCCAAAAGGGATTACAAAACGCTGAATTCAGATTAATTACCAAAACATTACAATACAAAGTTCTTACTAGTCTCTAAAGAGCTAATGCAAAATTGTCTTAGTTTTTCAACTTCTAACTTTCAGATTCAATGCTGTCACTCTATCAAATTTCATCCCACTATCTAAAAAGATACAGAAGGCTCAATTTCCTAAACCTGGCCTTCTGAAAAGGAGATTCACAGTCCAGAATCAGAGACAAGCCTCTCATTTTATAGATGCTTAGCTGTCCTAAATTAACACTGCTCCACTGAAGTTAAAGCTTTTTTATACCAGCTAATAATCCAATCCCAAGCAACTTCTGATTTACAAAAAGAGCACTGAACATCAGTAAAACAAAGCACAAAAATAACCCACTTCCTTCGATTCACAGAACAGGAAAACTGACAGAACTACCACAAAGTCTACAGCATGCCTATGTTGCTTCTAAGAAAACTGCACTTAGTGCAGGACAAGATACGTGATAAAAATGTAAATTAAGGTGGCTTAAGTAGAGAGCTCTCTTATGTACAGTAAGTCCAGTCTTGCAAGCAGAAGCTGCTGTGCTACTTGAAAACTTCAGGGCTCCATTTTTGGTTAAACTTTGTGATGGGGAGAAAGTGGAGTCAGATTAAAGAAGGGCAACTAACAGAATTCTATGAACAAGCAAGTTTATATAACAGGCAGGACCCATCTAATGCAATGGCTATAACATTTAGGGCTCGTCTACACACAGACTGCACTCAAATTTCACTTAGAGACATGAATTTAAACTCTAAGCTGAAGTACTACAGCTTTTGTTACTGTTGTTTATACCACATTTTTGACAGTCCAATTAATGCCAGTTAAGGTAAGCAGCAAGTTGGGGAAGCAGCCAAGGGTTTCTAGAACCTATGGAGCCAGAGAATTAATACATATGTAAAAAGTCAATTAGGAACAGGTTTAAACCAACCTAAATAAAAACTTACACTAACTAAAATACACTGTTATGAAACAAAAATGTGGGCATTCACCCAAAAAAGTACGAGTTTTAACTGAAAAGCTGCAAGTCCCAATCTAATCCAAGCTCTTGACAGCTGTAGAGAACACAATGATGGCATAGGTGGGAGCCCAAGACTATCCTCTTTCCTCAGAGGCAATTGAAGCCAGAAAGAGAAACGACAGAGTCCTGGGGTGTAGATCTAACACAAATGGCAGCGTTTCAAACATCTGCCCCCAGCTGAAGACAACACAACTGCCCAGATGTAACAGAAAGCAGAACACAGCCCCCTGTTTGACTTCACGCTTCGCCAAACACTCCTACGAGCTACCCTTCCTATACTGCTCTGAGCAAAATCATCTCCATACCACCTTTGCATCTGATTAACACATCAAAACACCCAGTTTTCAAAAGACAGTTTAGATAAGAATACCAAGAACCTGATAACGGCCCCTCGTGGGCAAATCTGTCTGCTCCACTATTCCACGGTTCAGTCTGCTCAGCTGTGTTCGTTGCTTGACCCGGTCTAGTTTTGGCAAAGAAAAATCCATAGGTGTGGAGTGCAGAAGCTAAAATGCTGTACTGAAAGTAAGAGATAATGCAGGTGTTGGGAGGATGCTAATTTTATCAACCAAAAGCCCACAGAAGAGAAGTAAGTGGTTTGAGCTATGACCAGAACAACTGAGCACCGAGTCCCCCTCCAACCGAAACAAAGTCGAGATGAACTCAGGATGCTTCCTGAAGCCTTCACATGCAGATAAGAGCTGCTGATCCTTGAGCATCACTTGAAAGGCTGAGAGGGGATCTAGGGGCCATTTACAAACTAGTTGGGGGGACCAGCAGGCATTGGGGGAGTCCCTGTTCCCCCGAGCACGACCAGGAGTGACCAGGAATAACGGTCACAAGCTGGCAGAGGGTAGATTCAGGCTAGACATCAGGAGGTGCTACTTCACTGTCAGGGCGGCTAGGATCTGGAACCAACTTCCAGGAGAAGTGGTGCAGGCTCCTACCCTGGGGGTCTTTAAAAGGAGGCTGAATAAACACCTTGCTGGGGTCGTCTGACCCCAGTACTCTTTCCTGCCCATGGCAGGGGGCTGGACTTGATGATCTGCTCAGGTCCTTTCCAACCCTACCAACTATGAAACTATGAATATGGGCAGAGATCAGGGAAGGGAAGGTCCAACTACAACTTGTCTAGTAAGCAGCTGTCCCATAAGCAATCCTTCAGACATGTG